GTGCAGAGGAGAGAGAGAGAGAGAGAGATAGAGAGGAGGATAGACAGAGAGAGAAGTTTTCGATCTCGAAGATACCAAAATTCCATATTAAAGTTGAGGTTAGTCCGTTTACCAAAAAGCTTATCAAGCAGAAAATACAGAAAGCATAGGAAACAGAGAAATACATTTTTTCTTTATAATTATTTAAACATTAAAAGCAAATAACACGTTTTTAAAAATATTTTGGAATTTTGTTTGGGATATTTTTAGTGACCAATTTTCTTGTTTAATGTTAGCTCTTCATGTTGTTGTCATTTGTAGACACTTTTTCGCAGAGAGTTGTACAATTGTTTAGTTAAACTTAGGTATCTAATAAATACAAACATTATACATTTAGATTTACATTTTAGTTGGGGTTTTTTTTTTTTTGGTTTTATTTTCAAGATTTATTCAGCACGCAGCTTTGCTTCAGGAATTACCATTTTTTTTGTAAAATTTTACGCTCCAATATTTGTATCTTTTAAAAACGACCTAGTTATTCTTTCATTTTCTCTTTCATATGTTCCATATTTCAATTTTTTGCCCCAACCACACACTTTTGAAAGAACATTTTTCCACAGAAACTCCGCCGGCAAAGTCAAGTGAAATTTTTTAATTAGATGAGTTTTCTAGGGCTGCTGCGCTCAAGCGACCCTTCAGCTCATCCTTCTGCTAGGTTAACGCTAATTAAAATTTAAAAGCCGCACAATGTGTCGAAAGTTAACAACGGCTTGTGGCCCACAGCCCCCAAAAATCCGAGTACATATATGAATTGCAGGATGAGTTGGTGGGATGGGGAAAAGTGGCCGGTGGTGGTGGATATGGATGGTGGCGATGGAGTTGAGTGGTTTTTGGGTGGAATACCTAAAGCCAGAAATTATTGTTAGCATAGCTGATGATGAGACAATAGTGGCGTTGGATGATCATGATCATGTTGATGATGATAATGATGTTGTTTTTGTTGTTGATGTGGCTGATAGGCTAATGACGATGTTTCACCCACGAAATAAGCAAAAATGTGTGTATGGAAAATGGTAAAAAAAACAAATTTCGACTTACCGCCAAAACACCATCGGCCAGTGGCCCGTGCAAACAAAATCAGCAGAACGACGAGGACCAAAACGGCGATGGCCACCACAATGCCAACAATTGCGGCAACATCGAGGCTGCTGCTCGGCGGTTTGCTCGACGAACTGATTCGCACCTGGTAGTCCGTCAGGCCCAGTTCATTGCTGGCCCTCAGGTTGTAGACCTTTGTGGTATCTTCCAGAGTCAGACCGGCGATGGCCAGAGTCACGTTGTACTCGTCGTTGCCCAGATACTGCGGCTCGTAGGCCGAGTAGCGTCCGTCGGTGCGTCCCTGCCCCACAATCGCCCCATCGATGGTCCACTCGATCTTGGGCTGCGGACTGGCCCGAATGGTGATGTTTACAATGGCAGTGTGCTCGAGGTAGAGACCGTAGACGGCGGCATCGGGCTGGTGGACGGGAGCATCTAGTTGGGGAAGAAGGTTTATTAGTGATAACTTTAAGTAAAAGAATTAAAATATCGATTTAATGGTAAGCTTTTATACTAAAATGATGCTTAGTATTAAAAAAGAAAAAACTTTTATTTAACTAGCTTTAGAATACATTTATAGCCTTTTAATTTAAGATTTTAGAGATAAGAATTAAACAAACACGTATTTAATGAATATGTTGTACAAATATTATGAAAGTTATATGAACTGTTCTTCGATATATTGAAATTAAGTTTAATAACAAGTGGCAAAAATAATCAATTTAAAGTTATTTTAATATAAAATTTCACGCTCGTGTAAAATATTTAAAGTGTAAATCATAAGCGTTGCAAAAGTTAATTTAGAGAACTCTTCAACGGTTTAATATTTGTACTACCACTTCTTATTCATTATTGTGTGAGTATACAAATGGATATGTATACACGTAATTAAATCAGAGTTAAGAGTACTTACATCGCACGTTGATGATGTAGGCGGCCTCCTGGGGCGGGACACTTTCGCGATCGGTTTGGTGGTGGGAGCGGCAGACCAGTTTCCGGTTACTGTCCTCGGGCGACAGGTGCCATTGGATTTCCTGAATGGAGGTCGATAGCTCAACGTTGTCGTTGGTGGAGGACATGACCTCCAGGGGAGTGGTGCGCTTGTTGGCCGGCATGTTGTCGATGTACCACGAGATATTCGCCGGCGGGCGACCATCGCGAACGCTGCAGCGAGCCCTGAACTCGGTTCCCTCGTTGAAGTAGCCCTCGCGATTTGGCCGCGACAGCAGCTCGATGATGGGTTGCTGGGGACGCACTTTAAGTTGGGGAAGAATGGGATTTTTTATTAAAAAAATCAAGGTATTACAGAAGCTTAGAAGCTACATTAACTAGGTTAAAATTGAGTTTAAAAATAAATAAAAAAATACCAACAAAAAAATGGTTGCTTTAACTATGCTGTTTTTTCAGGAAAATAATTTATCAATAATGTATCAATGTTTTCTTCAATAACTTTTTTTATTATATTTTAGTTTTTTTAAGTAGGTCATAGATACTCTGCTCAAGTGGAGAAATTTCTATGAAATATGTAGGTAATAAATAAAGTACTTACATGCCACCACCAGGTCGATGGTGCCCGAGAGCTCTTCTCCTTCGACGCCCAGACTGCACTTGACCTGGCCGTTGTTGCTGGCCTTAACCCGCTCGATGCTCACTCCGCACTGGCCGGCGGTGAGACCCGCTCCGTAGTAGGTGAAGCCGGGGGTCTTGCTCCACTCGGGGGAGAGATTGAGGACCTTCTGCTCGCCGGGGATCTCGATGCGGCAGTAGTTGATGGACCTGCCGTAGCGGCAGAGCAGCTCGGTGCGATCGCCCTCGTTGAGGAGCGCTGTGTTCGGTTCCACATTCAGTTGGGCCCAGGTGAGCGCATCTGAAAGATAAGTGCAAACAAAAGGCGGCGATTATGCTGGGGTTGTTGTGCAATTCGCTTGAGTATCTTGTATCTGGTATCGCATAACGCGCGGGGCTTTGTGTTTCGCCAGAGAATAAAAAAAACGGCACGTTCCATGCAATACTCGACACGCTGTCCTAATGCCTCGGCAATCAGGCAAATGACTGTCGCATTTAGCAGAGAGACACCTGCCCGTTTGCATCTTAAAGATACGCATCGCATACTCAGAGATTGTTTTTGCCTGTTTCACTTGCCATCGCAAACAATGCGGCTGCATATTCTCATTAAGTTTCGATTAAGTTATTCGCTCGTTTTTTCATCGCCTTGGTGTGGAAATGTTTTCCCACTCCCATCGCTGCAGTTGAAAAAGTTTTGCGAAAAGTTCTCGCAACTGCAGTTGCTTGCCATTCTTTTTCAGCATTTCCTATTTGCCAATTAAGACATTTGAGTAATTTTCTAAGTTGGCTACTAAACGTTTGGGTAGAAGTGGAGCTTTCGCCTGGCTTGTTTGTTTGTTTGTTTGTTTGCAAGACTTTGGCTTTCTCGGTTAGGCGGGGCAAATATGTCAGAGGAGCATAATTTCTAATGAAATTTCTACTTTGGATTATTTGGATTCTGGTAAATGATTTTGATTTAATTTTACTTAAATTGTGTGCTTGGTTTTGCACTTAAAGTGCATCGAAATTTACTTCTAAAATGCTTGGATTGTGTTCAATGTAATTAAATTGTATTTTGAAATTAAAATAGATCAGCTTATGGTATTGAAATTGTTTTCACTTAAACATAATCTTTAAGCAAGCACGTACTTTTGTTGAGTAAATGCTTAAGGAAATGGAAATGAAACATATTTTATGAAAGCTATTTTCGAGAACTCTTTTACTTAAACAAGAAATTCAATATTGAGGAGAATATCAAAATACATAAGCCAACGTTTTCGGAAATTGCCGACTAATTTCTGTAAATGAAAGCCGCAAAATTGCAAATTGTGGCATGAAGAGGTGGGGTATCGAAAACAGCTGCAGTCTTTAAACCGATGGGAATACGAGGTGAAAAAGCGGGGAAGCTGTAAGCAAACCTCAATATGCAGCTGGCCAAAAGTGAATTGATTTCTCCGCTCGATTCCGTTGCGCTTTTTGGCTTTTGGATGACTGACTGGCAGACTGGCTGAGTGAAGTTTTGTTTGGTCAGCCGGAAACGTGCGGAAAATCAACAGCATTTGCATTCGACTTTAAAAATCGGGTCAGCCAGCTGGCGGTGTAATGCGAAACTTTTCGACCGCCCCATGAGATGTCGCTTAACTTTTGACAATTGAGTTGTGAGCGAGTTTTTTTCTGCTTTGCTCGCAGACTTCTTTCGGCTGCTTCTGATATTTTTATGCGACTCCCCCTCTTTTTGTTTTATTTTTTTTTTTTTTTTATTCTCACATTGGAATCTGCAGACCCTATAAAACCACTTAGAGATCTGAAAAGGGCCTCGTGAAATCCCGCCGAGAAGTTTTGCTGCAGCTTGGATTCCAGAGTCCAGAGTCAGCAAAAATCGTTTCACACTTTCCCCCACAAATAAAAACGAGAATTGCAACAAACTGTGGCTCGGGTTCCGAAAAAATGGTACAAAAAAGAAGGGGGAAACGTTGAAGTTGGACAATGTCACATTCACAGCTATGAAAACAAACGCTGGCACTCGAGAAGTTGCATTGAGTAGAGATGAGTGCGTGATAAAAGACGATTAAATAATTGCTTTAAAATAGTGCTGAGCTCCAATTTTAGTAGTTAAGACTAGGCATCTTTTTAGTAAGTGATTAGAGATTGAATAATATTATTTCGCATGGTTTTTCTTGGCTTCTTTGTTTTGCATAAGGAACTAGATTAAAAAGATCTATCTATATTATAAATTGGCAATAAAAATTCTATTAGTTTTTGGTCAAAATAAATGGTAACATTTATATCAACTTCCTCACGAGTTCAACTCTCTTGTCGACATACGCTTCGTATCCATGTGTTTATTCACAGCACAAATCTATTTTTTATCCATTCCCCTGCTGGTGATATTTATTTATTTAGCTTTTTTCACTGGCGGAATTTTCGGTGGACCATCGTCGGTCCTCTGGGTTGGATTTACGGATTCCGACTGGATTCTCCTTTTCTGTTGTTCCCCATGTTTTATTTGATGCCATGTCTGCAGTTTTTGGGAGAAACGTTTGTCCAGTTCAGTGGTCTTGCCTCAGCGGAAACGCTGCCCCAAACTTAAAGTGATTTTTTTCTAGCCTCACATGTGTGGCCATAGAAATCATTTCACTTCACTTTTCCCCTCTATAAATTGTACAAATAGATATAATTTAATGCCCTCACTCGCCCCAATAAAAATCAAGTTTGGTCCGGGAGTCCATATCGATGCATCGACTCGGATCCTCCTGTTGTGGCTATTGTTTCCCATTTTTTGGCCACGTTAGCGTCTTTTGGTCGGAACGTGATTTTTACTTGAATTTTGTATTCGGGTACTTTGATTTTTCAACTAGAGTTTTAGTTGGACGTTGTGTGAAGTTGCACAGGGCACCGTGGAATAAATACAAGTATTTATAGGCCACAAAATATATGTTTGTTATAAAATAATATTCATTTGCTTGGGATAAAAAAAAACATTGAAGCTGTGTATTTTAATTGAATAATAAAACTTGTATTTTTATTTCCTTGAAACATTCTGATGAGAAAATTGTTCCCATTATCCCCATCAACATCTAGTTGATTTAAACAGAGAAGGAAAAAATGAAAAACCCACATATGTCTGGGCTGCTGTCTACCACAAATTGGTATGCAATTTCAGCAATATAAAAGGAAAATCAAATGCTGCATGCACGAGTACACGTACTTTTGTGTATGCAATCTGTGAGCTTATCATCCCGACCATTATATATCGCTTGGCTGGTAATTTTCAATTTATCAGCATCGATTTACCAGCTTTTGTGATACCAGCTACCTGCATTTGGGCAATTGCAGAGCAACAAAAAAGATAATTATTACTGATTTATGGCTGGCTTTCCATCGACCGACTGACAGCGAGACTTGAACTCAAAGCCAATAAGAGTTCAGCGCCAAACTTGTTATTGTTAACTTCTGGCTTTTCTTTTCGGGCAACATTATCGCGTGTGTGTGCAATTTCTTTTTACCTTTACGGGTTGGTTTTTATCCAGCGTTTCGTGGCTATTAATAATGATTGGTTGTTACATCAAATTGCCGTGTCGCGGCCTTTTACTTTTTTCTTGACCAATTTTCTATTTATTATTGGGATTATTTATGGCCTTTATCAATCATGTTTTATGTACAAATTTATTAAGCTTTTTTTCGGAAGTTTCTTTTTCGCTTTGATTAATGCAGAAGTGCAAAAGTGTTAAGCAATAACCGAAAATATTTTTGGTAAAGTTGAAAGGAAAGTATTTTCTGGGGAAGGAGGTTGGTGTGGTAAAGTGAACGTGACTTTTGCCACACGTGGCACACAGGTGCATTGCAGGCGAAAGTTTCCTAGGGCTTTTCCTCGGCTTTCCATTAATGGCAGGGGTTGCTTTTCAGGCCGGCAATTTTTCCTTTTCATGGAGATTTAGATATCCACTCGCTGCCACAAGTGAAAGTTGCCCAAAAAACAGATGAGGAAAGCCAAAAAAAATATCCATTTATGATCTGGCTGCAGCTCCACTCCCTGAGATATCATTTTGTTCAGCCAGCTGGTGTAAAATGGCACGTCACTGAAAAAAACTGGATTTGGACTGGAGCAATTAACGGTGCCCAAAGCGATCCCATAGAGCTGACCATCACAAAATAGGGGGCCACCGAAATCGGTAGTACAAACACGATTTTCCAAGGATCTCACACATATTAGCTCATCGTTTTCTAATCGAGACTCCTTTAAATCTTTCTTTACACTCAGACACTCTTCAACAGGTCGCAATTCTACATCAACAAATAACATGCTTTGAAATGATCCAAATCTTTGTCTCTAAGGAAAATCCTATTAATGATTTAATTATTTTGTTATATAATAAATACCCACTTTAATGCCAAAGTTTCCACCAACGGTCTTGCAATCTTTACCAACTTCTAGTGGAGAACTTCCTATTACAACTTTTGCCAAATGGTGGCCATCAAATTTAACAGTTCTCTTTAGCTTGATAATTGCCAAATCATCCTGCTTGTTTCTATGGTAATAGGGATAGATAACCATGTTTTGGATTTCAACCAGGAATTCCTCGTACTGTGGACTTTTAAAGAGAGCTGAACAAAGAGCCACCACAATTCTTTTTGGGTTCATCATCATACCCTTTTTACTAAGAAAACCGTCTAAAATAAATTATTGAAATAGAAATTAATTGATGTACCTACTCTGTGATGCAATGTGCTGAAGTGAGTACATGGCGGTTAGTTAGAATCACTCCGGTGCAGAAGTGATTATCTCCAGGAACATAAATATATTTACGAGTTCGCAAGGACACCAAATACGAATTCAGGTGGCTATAAGTACCATTCGAATATTGATATCCTGTGGTCAAATTCCCAAGCGAGAATATCGGAATTTGCAGTAGCAATAAATAGGTAAACCACATTTGTAAATCTATTTGCTTTGAAATAAAAATGATAAACAACTCAGGGATTCCTAGTTATTGATATTCAACAATGTCTGTAAATGGCTAATAATGTATTATGTCACGGATTGTGCAAAATTTGTACAATTTTCGGTATTGCAATAGAGATGATTTACAGAAGAATAGAGATTCCTTCTCGCTTTGCCATTCAATCTATAAACTGGCTGCATAAATACAAAATTAATTATTTTCACAAGAGTTGGCAAATTTTCACTTTCAAGTCATCAGTACAACATTTGCATTATTTATGCCCCAATTTGAGCTTCCCTTTACAATGCAAACACTCCACATTTGTTTTCTCGATTGCAGACGTTCGGGTATTTAAGCGGCTGAGATTTATTTGAGCCCGGCCACAGAGGACAAGAGAGTAAGACAACTTCCCCAGCAGACATTCCCATCTGTCAGTTAATTAATGCGAGCGAGACAATGAGGTTCCCTGGTTCTCTGCCATTTGCATCTTGCATTTGGCACTCTACTTTTCGATGAGCTTATGAGCGTCTTATTGTAATTACCCGACAATGCAGTCAAGTGGCGTTGACTGTCAGGGCAAACCGTTTGCATATTTGAGGGCTCCCCCTGAATGCCAAATGCTTATTAAGGTCCAAGAAATACTATCATAATTAATGCCCCAACCAGAAGTGCAAAACGTACTGCAAAACTTTGTCCACTTCTCAAGTTGAAATTTATGCTAAGTTCTGGATTATTATACAATGGCAAACGATATATATTCTGTATGTGCGATTAAAAGAGGGGGAAAGCGTTAAACTTGCCACTGGACATTTGATAAATATTGCGGTCCATATTTCTCATAAATCCAACGATTGCAGGACAAAATTGCAGCCAGCAATTTATATAATTCTCCATCGTTGTGCAACATGTTACGGGCCAAATTAATATGCGGCCGCCTGCTTGTGCAACTCACTTTCTGGCCTTAACCCTTTAAGAAGCTTATACAAATTGTGACGATGACAGCGTCTGCCAAAGTAGAGAAGACTGAAATAACATATTCCAGGCCAGACGAAGGTTGCCTAATTTAATGCATAAAAACGCACACGCAAGCAACAGACGTGGTTGAACAGGATTGAGGAGGAGTTGAAAAATACGTGGTACCCTTTAAATTTTACTTAAATATGATACACTAGAAAATCGGAAAAAATTTATCAAATTTCAGAATTTTTGAAATGATTTAAGATCCTTGAATCGAACTTTATTCTGCTGAATTCATGCAGTTAGCAGTATTACAATGTTTTATGAAGATGTAAAAATTTTTTTAAATAGTTTTAAAGGCAATAAAAATTAATTAAATTTTTTAAAGAAATAAATCAACCATATATTCAAAATTATATGAGTGGAAAATAATATTCTCTTAGTTAAAACCAACCCAAAATCGAGCACACCCCACACACTCCTACTAAAACATTATGTTAGCAAAAGCAGACGCCCCAAGGGGAAGCCGCCTCCAAAGCAGCTAGAGAACTGGGAAAACAGCAGGATCCGCAGCCAAGCGGAGTATAAATTAACATAATTTTCATATACACGAGCCAAAAGTTGCAACCACACCTAAACCTAGACGAAAGGATCCAGGATCCACGCCCCGTTGAATTATGGAAAAAGTGCCGTGTGGCCAAAGATGGGGAATCTTGAGAGACATATGAATTTCTTAAGTAAAGTGAAAAAAATATCAAAGAAATTGTGTATGTGTGTGTGTGTGAGTGGGGAGGAGGATGAGACAATGACAGCGTCTCACCCAAATGACAGTTATTAATATATACGCAAAAAAAAAACTGTCTCGAAATTGTTGCTGCCTATTTTTTACGGATAAATGTTGGAAGGCCGCCAAGTGTCGCCAACGATTTGCGAGACATTTATCAAACCGCAGAGAAATTATGCAGACAGACTGAAACTTCGCTTAGCCAAATCAGAAACGGCAACAAAATCAGCACCCAAGCCAAAAGGTAGATAAAGTCAACTGAGATACTGAGATATATATAAAGGCTAGACGTCGCCGGTGCTCATAAAAATTGTCTGCGAGTGGGTTTTAATTGTTTTTCCTTTTTCGCTGACATTTTCACAGGATGTTAGGGAGGGCGAACCTGTCTCGAGCAACAAAATAAATTGATCTGTGGTTTTGGCCTCATAATTTATGGGCTTTCTTCGAGAGGAAGAGAGGATGGTGAATGCGAAATTTGACAAATGGCTTGAAATCACCAAATGGCAGCCACCTTCATCCCAAAAAACAGAAAAGTTCTTCTTGTAAATGCTAACGAAACTGACATTAATTTTATGTTACTGGCAAGCGAAATCAATTAATTATTGTTGTTGTCAATTGTGTTGTGCAGAAATACGTACACAAATAGATGGAATATATTGATTTCTATTGGTGTTGACATACCTTAAGGGGATGTCTACCAGCTAAAGCGTGTCTTTAATGGGCAAAATTACTTTTGGGTATTTATAGATAGTTTGTTAAGGTTATAAATAAGGTAAATAAACAAAAAAGCAAGTATGTTAAATAATTGGGTTTTTAAATTATTTTGGTATTTATTTATTTAATGTTGAAGTTAGTTTTATAAGCTTAAAAAGTTGGTTTTTTATATTATTTACCCCTATGAAAAGTAACTGGATTTTCAATTAAGTCAAAGTATATTAAAATACCACATTAATAACCAAATCTTTTCGCAAAAACTACTTTTTCATTTTTTGTTGTGCAGATCAATCAAACTTTGCAATAATATTTTGCAACTTTTCACCTCACGCTTCTCTGCTCATACAATAAACGCGGTCAAATTTTATGTGACCTTTTTTTATGTTTTCTGTTGTAGTTTTTCTTCATGCCATAACGTTCCATATGCGCGTCACAGTTTAATTGCATAATTAATATGCAAAACTAATTTGTATGCTAAATATGTTATTATTTATATTTGCAATTTCCTTTTTTTTTTTATTTATTTACGCAAAGGCACATAAAAGAAATTGCTTGGCCATGAGTAACAGCTTAACGGTTATGTTTTAACGGTTGACTGGGCCATATGTGTCTTTGAACCCACTTCGGGCTTAAAGTTTTCAATGTTTATGGGCAAAAAAAGAGTGTTTCTGCTTTCTGTTTAGTTTTCGCACTGATCTGCCGAACGGATATGGCGATATAGTATGACTCAGTCCCTTTCGACTGACCCAAAATTCCGCGAAGAGAGAATTGTTTTCGTTGCTAATTGTTTGTCAACGCTTTTGGGACGTTTGAAATGCTTTGCTAATTAAAGCATAAAATATAATGCTGACAATGGCAGAGTGGTGAACTTTCTGGGTAAAATTAAAACTTTGTCCAAACTTTAGCAAGATCAACTTTTTGCCTTGCCTTCTGTTTGCCTTTCGTCTTTAATTTAATTGCCCTGTGTGCATTTGTTGCTCAGTTGAAGAGGCTTTGAAAACAGTTTGGCAACTAAGCGCTTTTCACAAAATACAAAATCAACAACGCCAGCTGAATGCAACATTTGTCGGCGTCCATGACTCGGTTTTCATTCACATGCAAATGTGCGAGAGATAAGTGGGAAACATGTTTTCCCAGACCAACAAAACTGAAGCCCCAAGGCTGAGAGTTGTCCAAGTTGCAGCGGCAACATTCGAGTTGCAGCATTAGAAGACGTGGCCTGTCTTCGTTCAAGGTTATCCACTTTGGCTCCCATAGTTTGTGTATCGACTTGCCGCTTCAACTCAACTTGCCTTTAAATTTTCACATTCAGTTTTTTTGTTCAGCCCAGGGGAAACTCATTTATTAAAGCCATTTTTATCTGCCGCTTACCATATAAATTTTAAATGACAGATGCATACAAAAAATTGCTCCTTCTGGTAATTAAAGTTTATTAATAATATTTTCATATTAACTGTGCAAATATTGTAGCAAAAAATAATATATATTTAATGCAGGCCTACTTTGTTATTAATACGCATTGACAGACTGGCTAGGCTTATGGTATGAATTATATGCCACGTGCATTTATAATTCATAAACTGTGCTGACATGTGCTGACCAAATTGAAACACACAGTTTCACTTCCTTAACAGGGAATAAAATATATTTAAAATTCATGTGAAAATAATTTTTATTGCCGCTTTAGCTTTTGCTTACTTTTATTGGTTTGTAATTCACCTACAGGCAATCAAACTAATAACCATTAAATAAACTAAGTTTTAAATAACATTTTCATTTATTTATAATCACACCATTAATTTACATTTCTAAAATGACAGCTCGGAATATTTTTCAGAAATTAGTTGGCAAACCCATTGGGAGTCAAACTATGAGCCAATCTTTGGCCAACCTTTCGGGCCATTTCACTTGGATAATTTATCATAAGAATATTCAAGGAGGTGAAACCTTTCGTTGGAGCCGTAATTAAAATGTTATCTCTCCGCCGTTCGCATTTTCTCCAGAGGGGGTCACTCACTCGCCACGGAAACTGAGGTGACGACAAATGTGTGGGATGCCCAGGGGCCATCAGGGGGTTAAAGTGTGATACCTTGAGCCGGGGTTAAGTTTTGCCTCGCTGCGCCCATTTAACCTTTAGGTTTGTGTGTGTGTGTGTGGCCACGGGCAAACATAATTGAAGTCATAAATAACGAATTATGTTGTGAAAGTTGGGCCGGGGATATCAGCAGTAGCGCCAGCAGTGGAATGAGGCAAGGTTTGTTTAGTTAACTTTTTCTCCTCCAGCTTCAGGTTCACACTTTTTGCATAATTATGACATGACCGGGAAACGTCTACAGGGGTGGGAGTTTAAGTCGTCCGAGTTGCTGGCTAATTATGCAAGCCCAGCGCAAGCCAAAAGATTTATTATGATGGAATAACTTTTTAATGCACGAGGGAAGGGTAAGGGTTAGGCGCGCAGGATTTGCCAGGTATCTCTCTAATTAAAAGCTTCGCCGCTTAAATACATTTAATGAATTTGTTTCACATGCCCCAAGGCCGTTTTTCAACTCCCTGCACATACGTATGTATATGGTTGTATATATGCTTTCCTGTTTTAGTTGGACGAGTGAGTAGTAAATACGAGAGGGCAATAAAGTTTATTTTTTAACACCGCCAGCGAGGCAAAGTGTTTTTAATTAATGACGTTGATGCCTCCTCCGTTCGCAGCCCATTGAATGCCAATAAAAGTGCATTAAATTGCAATTATGCTGCTGCTTTTGCTGACAACACGGCCGAGTATTGAACGTTGAACATTGAGCATTCAACAGCCAGATAAATGGCTGTGAATATTTCGTCAGGCGGCATATGGGGCGTATGCTTGTTGTTTGCTCTTACAAAACCTTTTTGCACGCTTCCTTTTCTGTTTACCGGTTTTTTTTTTATTAATTAAAGCAAAGTCAACTTGCAGCTTCCCAGGCAACTGCGTTAACCACAAAGTGCAAAAGTGCATTAAAAATGCATTTCAATATTGGCTGAATGTGTTGTCCATGCGGTTATTATACCAGCTTGGATTGAAACATTTTTTTTACTTGTTTGACTTTGAGTTCAATAGCGTTCCTTAATGATTGCGAAAGGGGAATGTTTTCTTATTAAATAAAATAACCGAAAATAATTACTTTTTTTTGATTCGGAAAATCAATATATAAAACGTTTAAATATCTTGTTGATTCCAAGCATCTATTCAAGAATTTTCTCCCATTTTATATTCACCTCGTCTTCGCAACGACTTAGAATATAATTAATTGCAGGACATTTGTTGATGTTCGCTCTGCCAAAAACTTGTCATGTCTTTCAGCCAGTTTCCGTTTCCGAATCCCAGAACTTGCCGGAGATTTCCTTTGCCAGCACGGTGAACACGTTTGCGGCGATGGGGAAAATGAAAAGTGGCTGGCAGTCGTGGGGTAAACTGAATTACATATCTCCACCGAACAAGGGATTACAAGGAATGTGTATACCTGTGACAACCCGCAGATTTACCCAACGTCCCGAAGTTGGTCCGCAGTCCGGCTCATTTACGTTGATTTCGAGCGGAAAACGTTTGTCGCCAAATTTCATTTCAGCTCGCTTCAATTCGATTCGATTGACATTAATTAATGATTGTTTCGAATCGCCTTCGCTTACAGCTAGAGCATTGATTTACGTTGTCATCGATTCCCCTGGTCGCCTTATTATTATGCTGGCACAGCGACAATTCTCCGACTGCCGACCAGCAGAATGGGTCGAAATATCTCCATCCCGTCGCCATTGACGACGGGAATTGCTGGGACGGGTGTTAATGATGATGAGACATCCCTGTCCCTGTCGGTGAGATACTCAAAAAAATCTATTTGAGCTTCTCAATGGAAATTACTATAAAATTCAATTCA